AAATACTAAGTCTATAGTTTCGTATGAATTAGAAACTCAAATTACAGATACTGACAAGCTAGAATATAAAATAAGTTGGTCTTATCTATTCTATTTGATAAGATATTGCTCATGTAATAAATCAAACACAGTGGCAACCTGCCCACCTCAATCGATTTTTGGAAACACTTCCTTATATACACTTACTTCTATATATGACATGAATAACCAATCGGTAGCTCAAAATATCCTCCTAGTGATTTTCTCAGCATTTCTAACATGGCTAGCACCATTTCTTTTTAACCAAGATTTCAATGAGGTAGGTTGTGTCTTTAGTCTGCTTAAAATTTCATATTTTTTTAAGAGTAAAATACATCTTAGTTACTAAGCTTGATAAATTATAGTTGAATTCTGTGGTATTGATGTTGTAACTTATGATTTTTTAGTTATTCAAATGTATATATATACAAAACCTAAAAAGAATATTTTGTTTCATATCCTCCGTGTGTACAATTTTTAAAGGCTTAGCAACCTACGTTAAGCAGCAACTGTGTATAAAGGTCGTAACTAGAAGAAATAATTCTTTACTTGAATTCTTTATTTACTATTCTAAGTTTTAGGAAAAATACTAGTAGACTAAAACACAGCCAAGACAAGTTACTTTGTACAGACCAAAGGTTAGTTTTATGTTATTTGATATGGTAACATGAGTGCACGTTAGCTGAGTCATTGTAACTACTGTATTGTTAGCCAAGCATGGGTGAAAGGTCAATATGATAAAAATAATAAATGTATAAGGTTATGAGATTTAAGCTATTTCGTCTAAACATTTATGTTTTAATGTTATAAGATGTGTTCATTCTAGAATGAAAGAGGCATAATTTATGTTTATTTCCTAATTTTTTATGGTAGTTGCAAGATCGTTCAAATCTATCGAACTTGTACAGAGATTAATTACTGAAAATAACAGCTAAAATATAAAGTTTTTTCTTAAGAAACATTTGATAACTATCCAGACATTATAAAGATTTTG